TTTTTTATTTATTTTACTGTTTAATTATTGTATTGTTTAATTATTTGATTTTTAATTTTTTTTATGTTTATTTATTTGATTGTTTAATTATTGTATCGTTTTATTATTTTAGCATTTAATTATTTCTGTTGTTTAATTATTTTACTGTTTTATAATTTTATTGCTTATTTTACTGCATAATTACTCTTGTTTTATTCTTCACGTATTCTAAAAATGTTCTAGTGGAATTAGATTTCTCCTTTATTCTTGCTGAGGCAGACAAAGAATGGCACAAAAATAAGAAACAAACAAACAAAAAGCAAAAACATTCAAGAGAAACCCAATGTTGTTAGTTGATAAGAGACCTCAACAGTTGTTGGATTAGATTCCACATAAAATATTGCCATGTGTTCTAAGCAGGATGAACAAAATCTGTAAGCAATATAACTAGAATGTCTTTGCCTTGGAACCCTTGGAGTCAAAGAAATAAATGTTGAATGTTAAATAAAGAATCAACATCAAAGAATGCAGGTCATTCCTCTAAGTGCTCCATACCCATCGTCAGCAGCTAGCTAAGAGTTCCAAATCTACTGGCACCAGTATCAGTCTGATTGCATATCTGTGTCATCTTTCTATTGTGTGTTGAGCGTTGGCCAGATCCTCTTGTCACTCCTCGCAGTGCCATTCTCTTCAGACCATGATCATATATCCATTTGTACCTCCTCACTGTTCACTCGCTGTTACATCATCTAGCTCTTACATCATCTAGCTCTTACATCATCTAGCTCTTACATCATCTAGCTCTTACATCATCTAGCTCTTACATCATCTAGCTCTTACATCATCTAGCTCTTACATCATCTAGCTCTTACATCATCTAGCTCTTACATCATCTAGCTCTTACATCATCTAGCTCTTACATCATCTCGCTCTTACATCATCTAGCTTGTCATGCAACAGTTCACCACCAAGTGGAGCAGAACCAGCCAGACACTGTTTACAATGTTTCTTAGTCATATTTATGTTTGGATATCTTAATATTGGCGTCAGTGGGTATATCAGTAAACTGGCATTTTGGAATTCTTGCTTTACCTACTGATATCCTAGGAAGAGGAAATGCAACCTGAACATTAATTTTAATGGCACAGCCCATCAGGCTCTTAAGTCTTAGTTGGCAGCTGGTCTAGGAGGGAAGCTGTGACAGCTGGACAGAAAAAGCTTTGCTCTTTTGACCTGGCAACTTCTGAAGTATGCTTTGTTCCAAATGTTTTGCTATTACCTTCCCAATGGAATAAACAAGGCATGCTGAGAGAGGGATTACTCTGCATGGGCAATACGTGGTCTATACTGCCCAGGCTATGTGCTATGGAGAGAAGGAACTTTACCTACCTGACAAAAGCCAATCTGGCATCTTATCTGAGATCAACAACTGGACATCTTTGTGCTACGTGGACTTTGTTATACTCTTATTTTACTGACACATAGAAATAATACTGCACATAACTTCACTAAACTTTTATCACTGAATCAGAATTAATATGGTACACAACAACTCTAAACTTTTATAATTTGGAGCATTGAACTAGTTTTGTAAATAACTGTATACAATTAATATTGTACGCAACAACACTAAACTGATATCACTGAAGTAGAATCAATTTTGTAAACAACAACAATAAACTCTTATCCTTGAAGCACTGAACTAGTTTTGTACATAACATATACAATTAATTGTGTACACAACAAGATTAAACTTGTATCATGGAAGCACAGCAATAATATTGTAAACAACACTAAACGTTAATTCTTGGAACACTAAACTAGTTTTGTACACAACTGTATACAATTAATTTTGAACTGTAAACATTTAACATTGTACACAACAACACCAAACTTTTATCACTGAAACACAGCATTAATACTGTACACAGCATCAAACTTCAATTTTTGAAACACTGAATTAGTTTTTGTACACAACTGTACACAATTAATATTGTCCACTGCAACATTAAACTAATGCATAAATCTGTGATAGCCACAAGCTAATGTGACCCACCTGTAGTGTAGGCCCGAAGTACGTGCTGACCGCAGCATTTGACACCAAAATATCAATGCCACCAAAGGTACTCACTGTCTGTAACAGAAGTGGCAAAAATAAAATCATGCATAAACAATTTCTAAGCTATCTAACAAGGAAATGTATTTAGTTCAAACAGACAGAAGATCAGTACTTACGAGTCTAATATGTTCTCATCCTCTGAAATCATCAATCTTTAGAGGGTAATAAACAGGCAGACAGATTGGCTGGATCTGCACCACTGGCTGGTCAATTGATTCATGACAAGGCAGATGTGGTCAAGGCCCTTTGGGAACAAGCAACGGAATCAGTAAAGAAACAAGATTATTATGGCCTTGAGAGAATGATGCATCTGGGTGTAACCAGAGGGTCTGGCCGGCTCATTACACTCAGAGAAAAGACAAGATGGACATATAACCAGATGGTGACCGGTACCATCAGTGTTGGAACTCTGCGCTGGCTGCTTAAGATGAGGACGAAGCATGCATGGGAATGCCCCGAGTGCTGTGATGTCAATTCTTAACTCAACTCAACTCCTCTGCAATCATCGATAAAGGGTGGTTAGAAGGCTGTGCTGTGGTTTGCTGTGATATTAAAGCATTTTGGTCAAAGACTTCCGATTTTAGCACAACCCAACTGAAGTCTGAGTTGAATGCAATTGGCGACACTGTGAGCTGTGGATTTCAATTAGAATGCTTTTTCAGCAGGCTCAACATGGTTTGTGTTGTAAACTGCAGATTCAGAAAATGGCTAGATGCCAGATAACTTGTGGCGCCTTAGTGATTAATTGTGCATGTAACTACTCATCTGCTGTATCTGCTGCTTCCATCAATGATCAACTGCATTTCTATAACTTCTAATGTCAGACTGTTTGTGCTGGCAGTTCTGACTGCTGCCTTATGCATCTAATGTGCTTGTATGATGCTGGGTTTGCTAACACTGCAGTCTGTGTCCATTTTTGTTTCAACAGGGACAGTGATGGAAATTCTGTGTGGTCTTAATTGGCACAGAAATGGAGCAACTATGGGATGACCCCTTTGCTATAAAATTAGAACTATGATAACCTCATTACCAGATACTCATGTGCCCAGATGATAGTGTCACATTGTGCTAAATGGAGGCTGGAGAATCAACGCACACAGAAATGGCGAGTTCAATCAATAAGACCTGCTCACATAAAGAACAGCTGTCCACAATTAGAGAAAAAGATTTCAGAATCATTGTTGCCATCTCCCCATGTGGGTTGCGGGATGATATTGTGGAAAGAACAAGAATAGACCCACTGCCTCCCCAACAAGCATGTCCTAAGAGTAAACTAATCAGGAACTTCCTTCAAAGTCAGAGTACATCTGCCTGAGAGGCAAGGAACCATCAGTCTGCTTACAAATAAGCAAGATCTGTAAAACTGATGCACACACAAAATTCAGGTCCTGAAACAAAGCCAAAGTCAGGAAATGGACGAACAACCAGGTCTTTATACCAATGTATGCCATCTAAAAATTTAAGAAAAGTTGAAAGTGTTCGACCTATCTTAGTACGCTTTGGTATGGGTGCCATTTGTAGTTCTAGTGATGTCTAGATGGTGTTGTCTCTTGTCATGTCTTCTGAATCATGTCTAGAGTTTTTTTTAAAGTGCTGGATGCTCCTTATCTTCTGAGTGTCATTTAAAACCTGATTGTCACACAAATTTACACAAAACTTTAATTTTTCTGAACATTTTAGGTAGGTAATTGTACCCCACAAGGACATCACACAAGCGATAAACACCCGGTGAGACAAAGTGTCACCATGCAGATGAGAATCACCCGTGGAGAGGTCCCGAAACCCCATCAGCCATAAGGCCAAATTTCAGGCCCGGCTATATTTAGACCCCCGTCAAAAGCCAGGGTAGGGCTTAAAAATGGCTTAACATGTCACCCCACAAGGGGATGACAAGATTTTAAGACGCTATACATATTTAACCATTAAATACTTTTTATAAATTAACAGTTTAAAATTTTGGCAATCCTTTTTGGTGAGCCTGTATTTAAAACATGAAATGAGTTCAACACCTTCTGGAATAAAAGCTTCCGATCTTCCTTCTTGGCCACGTGACAAACAATCCCATCAACGTTCAGATTTTCCGCTCTCAGCTCTTTCACGGCTTTATCCACATTCTGCTGCTTACGGCTGCTGAGCATCACTTTGGCTCCATCCTGGGCTAGGCGGCGGGCAATAGCAAAACCAATTCTAAAACAGATTAAAAAAACAAACACATTGACACGCAAATGGGCTGAATATTTTGTTTTCTACACACTCTGTGTAGGATCCAGAACCTCATTTTGGGGAAAGAAAAGAATATTCCAACACCTGTCTAACAAGCATGTCCCCATGTGGGTTCCAGGATTCCATTGTGGGGGAAAACAAGAATAGTCCCACCTCATTCCTAAAAGCATGTTAAAGTCAACTAAGTGGGAGGTTTTCTTGGAAGTCAGTGTGCCTAGACTAATTGGAAGGTTTCCTTGGAAGTCAGTGTGCCTAGACTAATTGGAAGGTTTCCTTGGAAGTCAGTGTGCCTAGACTAATTGGAAGGTTTCCTTGGAAGTCAGTGTGCCTAGACTAATTGGAAGGTTTCCTTGGAAGTCAGTGTGCCTAGACTAATTGGGAGGTTTCCTTGGAAGTCAGTGCATCTGCTTGAGAGGCAAGACACCAACAGTCTGAAAACAAACAAGCAAGATCTGTGAAACAGATGCTCATGTGAAACTCAGAACCTGGAAGAAAGACAAAGTCCAGAAATGGAAGAACTACCAGGTCTTTCTGCCGGGGTTTACAGACAGTGAATGCACACAACTAACAACAACAACAAGCACGCTGTATGCAGTGATCCTCCTGGGTGGTTAGGACCAGAAACTTGAGAAGTCTCTGTGTCCTGCATAAAAAGAACTGTACACACACCACGTCAATGGTTTACGTACAAATGTTTACTGAGAGGTTCAAAACATGCACAGTCTCTGTCGACAGTTTCACTGTCTTTGTATTATCAAATTACTTGTAATATTTACCAATTCCAATTACTTGTAATATTTACCAATCCCAAATACTTGTAATATTTACCAATCCCTCCATAACAGTCATCTTGCTTGCTACTTACAAGTTCAAGATGACACTCACTGCCAAGAATTACACATGTACACATCACTGGACGGATTCAACATTTCTCTAACTTCTTCCTAGGAGACACAATGGGCACTCAGTTCACTGCCCAGGTATTCTTCAACATGAAGTTCATTTCTTCACAAGCATTCATTCACATGCTCTACCACACGGACATCCTCCTCATTCACCTGCTTCATTGATGAAATACAATTGCTGTGTGAAAGATGGAAGTTTGGAAAGGCCGAATGTAAGACAGGCCTGCGTGCCTAATTTGTAACCCTTTGAAAATAAAGTTTGTTCGTTCGTTCGTCTAACACTGGATGGTTTGCTTTCTTACTATATCAGATATCTTCTCGTGTACCATACAGTTTTGTCTTCATTGTGGCCAGAACAGGCCAGATTGCGTCTCTGTTGCCAGCATTAGTTGACAGTATTAGAGCACATGCTAAGCATGGTTGGGTGCCACACTGCAGGGACACGTCTTTGTGTTTCCTGCACCGAAAAGTTTAAGCATATGTTGACGAAGTCTGTTGTGCCCTGTCTTTAGTCTGAATACGCATACACTCTTGCGATTACCTGTCAACATTCTCTCACCCTAAACTTGGTCACTAATTTATAATCTGGCTGAATGAAGGGTTCTTCATGACGTTATAGGATTTCTTAATTTAGTATCATTAATTACATTGTAACAGTTGACTAATAGGGGTTTGTTGAAACTGAATGTGTCAGGCTAAAAGGTAAAGATATTCTCTATGTGGGTTCTGGGGACCCATTTGATTTGAAGGAATAGACACATTGCCCCCCTCCCCAAAAAAGTATGTGGCAAAATTAGACAAATTAAGGGTGTTTCCTTTAAGGACAGAGTGTATCAGCCTGAGAGGCAAGGAACCAACAGTCTACTTGCAAAGAAGCAAGAATTTTCTGCCAGAGTTTACAGCCGGTGAAGGTAAAGAAGAAGAAGAAGGTGAAGATATCACAGCCTCGCTGTAAAATATAACACGCTGCATCGACTACCATTTCAATGATGAAGGCAGAAGAAGAAGTTTCTTAAACATTATTACATCAGCCTGAATATCTTTCTTCTTCGTCTTGGTTTATCATCAACTCTTTCATGGCATAGTGGTAAATAACCCATTTGCAGGCCCTAAGACAGTTCTATTCAACTAAGTACACTTGAGAGCTAGAATTCAGAAGATAGGAATCGTTACAGGTCACAGCCCTAGCATAGAAAGGTCAATAATTCAACACGACCGGCAGTGATCTGATGGGCCACTTGCTAGGATTCTGCGGGCCAAATCTCGCATGCAGGCCACCAGCTCAACAGCCCTGCCCTCAGGTCTTGACTTTGATTATGCATTGAGCTAGATTTTTTTTTGTGTAATAACCTTTGCTCACAGACCAACCAAGTCTAAACTGGGTACAGGAAATGTGCTGGGAAGTAAAGGTGGCGAGGGTGATACTGATCACATCAACCACCGAGTACAGACTGGTTTTTGGCAGTTTTATTTTTTTTATATTTTTACTTTACTTTAAGACTTTGCATGCTCCCCGCGGATCGGAAGGTCGTGGGTTCGCTCCCTGGTGGAGCCGGATTTTTAAAAAAATGACCTTGGCTCCTAGGTCGACACAGCCTTGAGTGGGTACCGGGTGCAGTCTGGGAAGTAAAGGAGGCCGGCGTGATGTTGACCACATCACCCATCTTGTGCTGTTTGGTCTATAAAAATATAGGTCTAGCCCTATATACCTAAAGGCGTGGAAAAGGGTCCTGTACTTTTTTAAGACTTTGCACCCCAGTAGCAACACTTATTATGGGATTAGGTTGAACTGATAGACAGGTTGGGTTATCTCTTGTTGGTCTGTTCATTGAATACTTATTTGATTACACTAACATCCCCATGTGGGTTCCTGGGGAGTGTGGTCGCAGGGGGTGGGGGGTAATAGATCCTGTTCCACTACCCCGCCCCAACAAACATGTCATAACATACAACATAACTTAGCCCTTGACCCCTTACGGCCGTGGAGGTGTATCGATGGAAGCACTAGCACCCAAAACTCGTCCCTCTTTCTCTGTCCTCCGCTTGATGAATAAGTGTTTGATAACTTAGTCCTGTCCATTTCTTCAGGTTTTCATTCCAGATTCTTCTTTGCCCTCCTCTTCTTTGACTACCTCCCAATGTTCCTTGAAGTACATTCTTTGCAATCGACTCATGTCTCACCACATGCTCGAACCAGACTAGCCTGCGACGTTTCACATGTCATAAAATTCTACTAATTAGGGGTGTTTCCTTCTAGGTCGAAGCACATCTGCCTGAGAGGCAAGACACCAACAGTCTACATACAAATAAGACAGATCTGTAAAACGGATGTGCATAGAAAATTGAAATATCTGGAATAAGATCAAAGTCCAGAACTGGGCGAAATTTCCATCGAAGTTTACAGCCGGTGAATGCAAAAGAAGAAAAAGAAGAAGATGAAATTAACAGTACATACCCTTCTGTTGAAGCTGTCACTACAGCAACCTTGCCTGCTAATTTCAATGTCATCTTCCTAAAACAGTTATGAACAAAAGTCTGAGTGTGAATAATCTGACTACAACTCACGTGCAGACAAATGTAATCAGTAGTACAAAAACATGTCAATGAGGACAGATTTGTCATATTATATGTAGAGTAACAGAGGCAAGCAGGCAGATGGTAGACATGGAGGTAGGTAGACAATCAGTTACGGGTTATAAGTCCTTGTCAGCTGGCGTAGACGAGGGCGCCATGGGCTGCCTCTGACGGTAGGAGACATCTTTGAATGTCACTGATCAGCTACCGCCTGCCTCAAGCTGGGCAGCCCCCAGCCAATAAGGTGTTGATCTGCCACAGCTTGTATGCTTCAATGGGTGCTTGGAGCTAGGATGAAATCCAAACTGCAGGCTGTAAAAACAATGCGGCAGGCAATAAAAAGAAACATTGCTGTGAGTCTCATGCTTCCTCATAGCGAAATTTAACACTATCGTCTGGAAAGACGGAAAGGGGCCAATCAAGCAAGAAAGTTTATACTATAAGTTAAATGAACTTTCACTCATTATTCTTTATTGATTCTATTTTTTTTTATTCATTTTTGTCAGTTCTTCTTCTTATTAGAATTCAGTTTTGTTCACTTCTGAACGTTAAGTCTTGCTCCAGAACTTGAGTTTTGCTTGCACGTGTGTTTTTCGTATATGGTTTATTTGAAAGCAGAATTTTGTTTCCTTGCCTTTTGGGCAGATAGTCTATCGCTCTTCTCCATAATGGGGTCAAAAGACCCATACAAGGATTATTCAGATGAGATCTAATGGAATTTCTAATTTTAGCTTTCTTTCTTTCTTGGTTTTTTTTAATCATAAAAAAGGTATCAAACCACATCAAAAGTAGAACAAGAACCAATTAGCCTCACAGTACCACAACCACAAGTGAATGTTTAAGATTCTTTTTTTTTAAACTCTGGAGACTAGCAAAACTTGTAGGTCAATCCAGGGGTCTCCCCATGTGGGTTCCTGGCCCCCATTGTGGGGAAAACAAGAATAGACCCACTGCCTTCCCAAAAAGCAGGTTGTAGGAGTCGACTAATTTTGGACTTTCTTCAAAGTTGGAGTGCATCTGCCCCAGCTGACCCTGGCACAAAGCCAAAGTCCAAACGGACGAACAACCAGGACTTTCTACCGGAGCTTAGAGCCCGGGAACAAAGAAGAAGAAGAGTCCAGGGGTCCTATTGGGGGAGGGGGTGCGTGGGTAGATACAGCCCCCCCCCCCCCCCCCCCCCACCCACCCTCTTCCCCACCCCAGATAACAAACATCTTATGAAAGGTGAATTGGGAGCTTTTCATTGGAAGTTGGATGTGCATTAGCGTGAAAAAAATAAGCAACATCAGTAAAACGCAGGTGGATGCAAAACTCAAGTTCTAGTACAAAACTTTTCCTTGTGTGTTCCGGGCTGCACTGTGGGGAACACAAGGACAGACCTACTGCCTTCATAACGAGCCTGACGTAGGAGTCGACTAACTGTGGCTATCCTTCCTAGCAAATTTGCAACAGTCAGGTTCTGGATATAAAGTCTGGAAGTGGCTGAACAACTAGAACCTTCAGCCGGAGTTTACAGCTAGTTTACGCGAAGAAGAAGAACAACAACAACTAAACGTTAAATTAAGTTTAAGTCCAGAAGTTGTCGAACAACCAGAACTTTCAGCCGGAGTTTACAACCGGTGAACGCTGGGGATAAGTAGAAAAAGAAGAATATTATCATTCAATTAAACATAGTTTTGTTACCGTAAAAAGACGCGGCTGGAAACAAAATGTACCTGTGATCTAGAGGTTTCTCCTGTCTGCACTTCTCCCCTCAGGAACTGAGCTGTACTTAGAACTGAGGTCGAAGTTTACGTTACTGTTACAGATCGTTGTCTTCCCTGAAATCGATTTTGTACTGCTACAACTGGTTAGTTCTGTTTTTGCGCCTAAGATTTTTGTTTTCTGTTGATATAGACTTGGTTCCTACCCAAGCAGAACTGCAGGTGACACCCGGCTGGTGTAACCGTTATGGGTGACCTAATTAAAACTTCTTCAAAGGTTGAAGGGGGTATTTTGGTTCTTTGTGCGTCTAACACCCAGACTAAGATTGCTTTTTAATGGCAAGGTTTATTTGCTGGTTTAAATTGTTTGTTGTGTGGGTGGGTGTGTGTGTGTGTGTGGTTGTTTTTGTTTATTGTGTTCTTGCTCTGATTTTTTTACTCGTATTCTTCTTACTTTTGTACCCCCCCCCCCCCCTTTTTCCCCATTCTTATTTGTTCTTATACTTTTTCTCGTTCGTTTGGTTCTTCTTCATCTGTAAGTGCTTGGTCTGGAATAGGCATCGGGCATCATGAATATCCAATGCTCTCTGGCTTCTGCCCCCCCCCCCACCCCACTTTTTCCAATGTGTAGGTTACAAGGCTCTTGGGGAGGGGTGGAGATATGTCCACTGAACCTAACTAACAAGCGTGTCGTACAAGGTGATTAATAAGGGGTGTTTCCTCCGGAGTCGGGCGCTCGAGTTTGTAAGGCTTAGGTTTCAAGGCCCTGAAATTAGGGTATTTATACGTTTATCTTTAGTCAACAAATTAACATTATGGTACAAGGAAGGTAACAAATAAGTGCTCCGTTATACTTCTAACTCAGGCCTGAGTCAGAAGAATCTCAGTGCAGTGCACGAACTTTAAGTAGATTTTAAATTCCACATTTTGCCCGGGCAGTGTCGTTTGGACAATCCCAATCAGCACAAAGAACAAGTCGGCACAGAACCAATTCTGGATTACATACAAAGACAGCAAGTGAAATGGTTTGCCCACTTAGAGAGAATGCCTTGTGACACCATACCATACAAAGCATACACGGAAAGAGAAGAAGGACGTAGAGCACGGGGTAGACCAAGAACAAGATGGAAGGATAACATTAGAGAAACTCTACAACAGCACGATGTGCCTATGGTCGAGGCGGCCAGAAGAGCTAGAAACAGAACCTTATATCTCCCTCGACACCCACAGCGGTAAAATATGAAGTGAAGAAGAAGAAGAAGAAGTGCCACTAGGCTACTTTTTTCGATTTCCAACTGCCGAAGGGATTTTTTTTACAATACACACGGGCGTTTGGTCTTACTACTCAGAGACCAGGGGAAAATTCTAGAAGACCACGTCCCCATTTTTGGTGATATTGCTAAAGACAACAGCGGGTAAATTGTAGTCGGTTCTTTCATAATATCCTAACCCCAGATGACGTCAAAGGACAGTCCAACATTTAGAGGGTGGTAAGACTGGGTTTGCCGGCTTTCTGATACTTTTAACGACCTCAAAACATCTAGAACTGGCCCTAACCCCAACCCACCTTCGTCCCGCGAGAGAGTGCAGCCTAGGTTCCACGACTGCATGCAGCCTAGGTCCCACGACTGCATGCAGCTTATCTACCACCCTCTGAAGTTTTACTGTCCCGTGACCTGTGGATTTCCCCTTTTGGGGTAGGATATTAAGAAAGCGCCCAGTAGTGAGGGTCGGATTTAGGTATAAGCTATATCTTAGGAGGTGTTCGCAACCTACAAAAGCGGAAAAGCATGTTGGTTAGCATGTCTCCGATGACATTCAATGACTTTGCAACGATTTAAAGACACAAAAACGATTTGAGTTTTATCTTAGTGCTTTTTAAAGGATTGTATAATTTAATAGATGTGATTCCCCGTGTGGGTTCCGTGGCCCCATTGTAGGGAAAACAAGAATAGACCCACTGTCTACTCAAAAGCATGTCGTAAGAGTCGACTGATTAGGAGCTTCCTTTGAAGTCGGCGTGCATTTGCATGAGAGGCAAAGAACCAACAGTCTGCATTCAAGTGAATCAGATCTGTAACACTGATGAACACGCAATACTCAGGTTCTGGAGCGGGGCTGCAGTCCATAAGTGGACGAACAACCAGAACTTTCCGCTAGAGTATACAGCTGGTGAATGCGAAGAAGAAGAAGATTAGATGTGATTTTGCAAACATATTCTATATTATTTGATACAAATCCAACGGCAGTACATTTTTAATTATTGATAGATTTAAAAGACATAAGTGTATATTTTATAGGATGGGGGCTGGGAGGCAACAGACTCAACACAAATGTTGACAACAATGGTCCTGAAATCCCATGCTATAATTGGAGAAGACGGGCGGGTCTTGCTAGTCACACTCGCCATCACCATGCACTGTGAGTCCCATTCCTCCTCACAGTGCAATATAACACACTGTCGTCTGGAAAGACGGAAAGGTACCAATCAAACAAATTCTCAAGTTTTCCTGAAGCTGGTATCATTTAAAACAGTAGGGGCCTCGAGGCTTTGTATAGCTTAGGGTGACACCAGGTGTAAATCCGACCTTCATTTGTCAACCTTTACTGTGAAGACGGCACACCATTTAAAAAAAAAGCGAACGCACACACACACACTCTCACATTCCCAGGTTTAGAGAGATAGAAAGAGAGAGAATGAGAGAGAGAGAGAGAATGCGAGAGAGAGAGAGAATGCAAGAGAGAGAGAGAATGCGAGAGAGAGAGAGAGAGAGAGAGAGAGAGAGAGAGAGAATGGGAGATGGGAGGGAGATGGGAGGAAGAGACAGATTTATAGACAATTTATGTGATCTCCCGCCTTCGGGTTATGTCTATAAATACCACGTGCGGGTCTCAACGACCGAACAGCCAATAGTCTTTTGTTCCCAGTCAGCGCAACCTCTCTTGATATAAAATGGCCAAAATATGCTAAAATATTAACTCCTACTGTCCCAACGAAATGTCTTCTTCTTCTTCTTTTTTTTTCTTCTTCTTTTTCTTCTTCTTCCTTTCTAGACCCTAATGGGGGATAGGCCCTCAACCAACTCACGCCAAGTCGTTCTATCCTTTGCTATCGCATGCAGCTCTCCCCATCCCCCCACCCCCATCTTTCTAACTTCATTCTCCAGCTCCTTTCTCCGTGTTTTTTTTTTTTTTTCTTTTTTATTCCCATGCCCCTGGGGGTTCCAGTGC